GAATGCTTTCGTACTCACGTAACCAGGGAGGTCACGTGACCAGAGTTTTTTTTTGGTCAAAGTGACCACAGACCTTTTTCTTTTTTTTTTGTTTGGTCACATGACCAGATAGGTCACGTGACCAGAGAAATCACGTGACCAGGAAGATCACGTGACCAAAGATATCACGCAACAACTTTTAGAGCGCAGCTCTTAGGGGCCCGTTCCCGGCTTGAGCGGCGTCGGCGTAACCGCAACTCTCGTAACCCTCGTGAGGGTTACGAGGGTTAATCTCATGAGGGTTACCCTCACGAGGATCACGAGGGCCACGAGGGTTACTTACCCTCGTAACCCTCACGAGGGTTACGAGGGTTAGTTACCCTCAAAAGGGTTACCTTCACGAGGGTTACCGTCACGAGGGTCACGAGGGTTATGAGAGTTACCCTCACGAGGGTCACGAGAGTTACCCTCACGACGGTCACGAGAGTTACCCTCACGAGGGTCACGAGAGTTACCCTCACGAGGGTCACGAGAGTTGCCCTCACAAGGGTTACTAGGGTTACCCTCACGAGGGTCACGATGGTTACCCAGGTCACGTGACCCCGGGGGGGGGGGGTCACGTGACCTGGGGATACCCCCCGAGGTCACGTGACCCCCCGTTGACGTCATAGCCACTGATGACGTCATCAGTGACGTCACTGATGACGTCACCGGCATCCGCATCGTCATCATCACTGATGGCGTCATCAGTGACGTCACTGATGACGTCATCGGCATCGTCACGTGGCCCCAGGTCACGTGACCCCCGACGTCACGTGACGCCCCAAGGTCACGTGACTCCCACAAGGTCACGTGACTCCCACAAGGTCACGTGACTTCCCGCCCCCCGAGGTCACTTGACCCCCCCAGTACCCTTCCCTCCTCCTCCTCAAGAGCTGCACTCTTAATTCGGCGTTACAGGGAGCTGTAAACGGCTTTCATTTTTTTTTTATTATTATGTTGGATTGTGTTGAACAAGTCACGGATTTTGGCGACGATTTTGCCGACGGCTTTTTCGCTGACTGAGCCCCCCCCCCCCCCCCCCCTCCCCCAGGTAATGCTCACGCATTAAAAAAGCAGAGATGCTGACAATAAAGGCGGAGAAGAAAAATGTCGGAAAAAGAGCAAAGAGTTGAGCTGTGAAGACTTCCACACGGCAGGGGGATCTCACGAACACGCCTTTGATGACTCGTTTCTGGCGGGTGATGTAATCAGAGCTCGTGCGTATAACCCGTGATTTGCTTGGTTTCTAAAGCGACAGATACGCGCGCGCTGGGCTGTGGGGATCGCATGCTGGGCACAGGGTTTGTAAAAACCAGAAATCGTTGTTGTTATAAACTGTCAAGCTTATAGCAACATTCGTTTGTCGGGGACTTGTGTGACTTCGCTTTTCTACCCCTGACCACAAAGTCGTAAATCTGCATCTCCCGTGTTGCTCTCCCCCTCGAATATCGAACACGCAACCGGAAAGGTCTTAACATTTCAGCATTTGAGAAGCCTTTTTTTTCTTTTAGAGCGCAGCTCTTAGGGGCCCGTTCCCGGCTTGAGCGGCGTCGCCGTCGGCGTCGCCGTCGCCGTCGCCGTCGGCGTCGGCGTAACCAAGGTCATCCCAAGGTCACGTGACCCCCAAGGTCATCTCAAGGTCACGTGACCCCCTGAAGGTCACGTGACCCCTCGAGGTCACGTGACCCCTTCCAAGGTCATCTCAAGGTCACGTGACCCCAAGATGACCCCACGTGACCCTTTGAAGGTCACGTGACCCCCAAGTCACGTGACCCCTCTGAGGTCACGTGACCCCCGAGGTCACGTGGTCGCCTCCCCAAGGTCACGTGACCCCCGAGGTCACGTGACCCCCAAGGTCACGTGACCCCTTCCAAGGTCATCTCAAGGTCACGTGACCCCCAGGTCACGTGACCCCTCTGAGGTCACGTGACCCCCCCGAGGTCACGTGACCCCTCCAGGTCACGTGACCCCAAGGTCACGTGGGGGGTCACCTTTGGGGTCACGTGGCCTTGAGGTCACCCCCAGGTCACGCCTCCCCGAGGTCACGTGACCCCCTCCCCGAAGTCACGTGACACCCCCCCGGAGCATATTAAAGAATGAGGGGAGGAGGAGGAGAAGGGGGAGGGGTCTACCCTCCCCTCAGCACCCTTCACTCCTCCTCCTCAAGAGCTGCGCTCCAATTCGGCGTTACAGGGATTTGTAAACGGCTTCCACTTTTTTTTCTTTTAATAAGTGATTATTTCGACATTTGGGTTCGAAATAATTGTAAAACCATTTTGAACACATCTTCCGTCATATACGAAAGAGATGTCCATAGTTATTTGCTATTTCGACGTCTACCATCACATTAAAGCACTATTACGGCGTTTGACGTCGGGATAAATGAACACAGTATTTTTTTCTTAATTTCTGTGTCATCATTTTTAAAAATTGTAGTAACTAATATAATTTGTTCATGTCCCGTCAAAATAGCTTCATTGATATTTTGAAGCCCTTGGTTTTCGAGAAGCTTGCAGAGACAGTTTGGCCGGGCGCAGATGGCGTGACAAGTTACTCATTTTTTCCGTTCGCCGTGGCCTTTTTAACTATAACACTGGACACACTAGATCTATCGGCTTCAAAGATCGACGTGCTTTCCGACACGAACAATTCTTCAATCGACTTCAGTCTTTATAATCCAATTTTCTAAAAATTATTGAGCAACTAACCCACCATCTTGCAAATCCAACCGGCTAACACATCGCGTAATTTTAGCTAAAAATAAATGATATTGACAGACAAGTGTTCGGTAATTCGTGTCAAGAATGCTTAATCATGAAACGTTCAGTTTCATGATTTATTTCACAGCATTCTCAAAAATAAAGAGCAGTAAAGGAGTTACATATAGCTAGCATAAATATTTGTGGCTGCTCCGAGCTTTTAAGTAAGCCAACGGCCCAAATTAACCCGCTATTGCTTGCACTGGTCAAAACGTTTCAAGAAGACAATGCTCGCATTCATTTGCAACACTCTATTGGACGCCAAGTGGCATAATCTGGGCTCGTTTAAAGAAGCCTTCCAATGATATTTGAGCTTCTTTCTATGCTGTGTTATTTACCACTTTAGTGATTCGGTAAAATCAGTGAATAAAAACTAAAGCATAAAATAGTAATGCATCATTTTTTTAATAGAACATACGAGAGCCCAGGACTGGACAAAGTTACCCAAGAAAGTATTTGCGATTACAAATACTGAGATACATGAAAGGGAAGGCTAAACGCGAGATGCTGAAATACATTTGTAGTTTATATCTCGGGAATTTAAGATACACTTCCGTAGAAATAGCATAACTGAGTCCTAGAACAGAGAGACTGGAACAGAGATATTAAGTTCTACAAGTGCAAAATATGTCACCAGGCACTGTCCATTATTTAACACTCAAATACCTATACTTTGTGGCAAATAGTATCTGTCTACTTGTCTCCAATGGCTATGTAGTACTTGTATTGTCCAAAATAATTCAAATAGGTCAAACAGTCAGAAACCGTCACAAGCAGTCATTAATAGCAATATCATTATAAACAGAGAAGGTAAAATTAAGGCTCGATGGACTTCTTGACGCGTTGGACCTCTTGACACAAATTGGACCTTTTGACTCGTTGGACCTTTTGACGCGTTGGACCTCTTGACTCGAATTGGAGCTTTTGCCTCGTTGGACCTCTTGAATCAGCTGTCACGTGGCTATTGGACATCTTGACTCGTTGGACCTTTTGACTCGTTGGACCTCTTGACCATAAGCGAAAATAAGCACCCGCGCACGAGGGACCAACGTTGCGACGGACGTGGGGCCGCAGGAGCCGTATATTGGGAGAATTTGGCCAATGGGCGGAGCAAAGGCCGCCGCCAGCGAAGCATACTCCCCCCCCCCCCCCCCCCCCCCCCCTCCCCTTCGGTTAGAGCGTAAGCTAAAGATGCGACATAGCGCCGTCCAGTCAGTAAACCGGGACGTCACAATATTGGAAACGACATTTAAAGCGTAAATAGCAGCGTTCAATCCCAGCGTTCGGTGACCGTTTGCTCTGGACCAACTTGCTAGAACAGCTTCTCGGCAGAGACCCGCTGAAAGAAAACAGTGCAAAGGGCGGGACGGCGCGAGCATCTTGAGACGCGGCTTGAGTCCCTCTCGGCTCGTGCGCTGGCTTTGGCAGTGGTTTCTTTCCCCCAGTCTTGGCTGAGACGCTGTTCCTAGCAGGTGAGCCCGGGTTCGGAGCGCACGTTCGTTTATTCTACCGTTAAATCTGGACGAGACGAAAACCTCACATGCGCCAAGTTTTCAGTCACCCAGGCGTTATACCTATTTACTCGAGCGACACTAAAACTGCTTAAATTAGTAGAGTCGCATTTTAGAGGTCACGACAACCGCTAGGGGCTGTTTCGCGGCCTGTGGGTGGCCCAGAGATGTTCGCCTATTCATACCAAAGGATGGCCAAACTTTCTCTGGGGGCCGCTATTTCGGAACTGTCGTTCGTGGTACCGGCCAATCAATCTTCAAGCGCAGAACATCGAGTGTAAGGGATAGAAGTCCGAAGCAATCCCACGACAAAACGGTTTACGCCATAGAGGTATTCTTTTTTTGCCTTAATAAAATATACGTGACTCTGCAGCAAACAAAAATTATTGGGTAGTCTCCCAACACACTAGTAAATCTCCTGAAAAAAACATTTTTAGGCAGTTTTGGTGTCCCTCGAAGAAGGAAAAAAAAAGCGCCGTTGATGAGAAAAATCTTGCGTGCTATTATCCTGTTACCTTGAGCTAAATGAGCGGCATCGTAATACGCAAATTACTCGAAGGCCGAACTTTGCGTCACCGAACTCTCGCGTCCTCGTTAATAACAAGAACCGGATTGTTTCCTCTTACTTTCGCAGTGGTGCAGAGCGTTGCTTCGATCTCAGAAAGCTGAAGCAGACGTACGTCCCGGCTGTGAACACCACCACATCGGCTGGAACTTAACTCGTCAACTAACAAGTGGGAATATGTGCACCAAAGAAGTATTGTTGCAGGCAATGAGCGTGACACCATTGACGGCTGTGATAGTTGTGGCTCTTTTCGTGGTTGCGTTGCTTTTTCTATGGGTCCTTGACAGACGCCGCGAGCATCGCTTCTTCTTGAACCTGGGCATTCCGGGTCCAAAACCCGATCTTCTCGCGGGTAATATGATACAGATGAAGAGGGATCCTCTCGGGGTGAGTTCTCCGTCTTTCTGATAATTATTTATTACCGAATTAATTATATATTTTAAACAATGCAGTGCTTAACAAACTCTGCCACCCTGCGAAACATCATAAATACAAAAAATGGCGAGCTTTGCGGTGAAATTTAATTTGACAATAATATAGTCAGTGTGAATCAGCTGGGCTAGAAACGATTTTGAAAAGAAAAAGAAAACGCATGCCAGCCGGAATGACTGCACCTAATGTTTAAAGTGAGCATGTTAGTTCGAACCAAATCAAATGCTTTTATTGGCCTCTGGATGTACAGATGCCGGATCAGAGGAAGAAAAAGCCACTTTTTGTTGGCTTGACAAGGTTCGGGCCCCGAGTGTTCGGAGATGGTGACTGAGATGCAGCAAAAAATATCAAGGTAACATATAGAGAGAAAGTATTAGCTAAACGGTTTACGTGAAACTGTACATATGGGTTCCCTGGAATGCCGAGACTTTACTTAAAATAGGCAGTAAAAATCGGCGCCTGCACGTAGCAATGTTTTCTTTCTGTAAAATTAAGGGCCAAAAAACTTGTCAGGTTCAACGAAGGACAGCGACGCAGACAATCAAGTCGAGTGGCGAGACGCATTTGGCCCGTTATTCAATAGATGGCGCTACGTTCTTGTTCCGGCTTGCATTAATATATATATATATATATATATATATATATATATATATATATATATATATATATATATATATATATACTGCTCGCGACGACCGCTGTCCATTAAAATGAACATAATATTTTTGTATGTACCTTTGCTTTAAAATTAAAGGCGGAAAATGATAACAAAAACTTAAAGTAACAAAATTAAAAACAAAACGCAGTTGCAGAACGATGGCGCTTCTACTGCCGACGGATTTTGTCTGCGTGTCGTCTGCTTTCTTTCCCTGGAGGCTACACCTTCCGGCGCTGCTCCTGACGCCATCTATCAATACTTGCGCCAAACACGCCCCGCCACTTGACTCAGTCCTGTGTGTTGCCGTCCGCCGTTGACCCTGGCAAGTTTTTTGGCCCTATTATTTTTTTTTAAAGGAAGGGAGCTACGCCTTGTAATTTTACATGGTAAAACCCACTTATGAAACACAGAATTCACGAAATGCCAAGACTCAATCTAAATCTGCCGCAAAAATCGGAAACCGATTTTTGCGCCCCATTTTATATCGAGACTCGGCTTTTCAGACGTCCTATATTTTATACAAAGTATGTAGTGATTTCTGATCTAAACTGTAAATATTAATACTATCTATATGGTGTTTATTGAGTAATGTTTCTTGGTTATAACGGAGATATTGCAAATTGTAACTTGTATTATGAGAGACTTTCCATTTGTCTGAGTACCGGGTGCGGAGGTGGTTATATTACGGGTTAAAATTTATATATGAATCAAAGACATAAAACTTGATGCGATGTTAAACAAAATGATATGATTAGATGGTATTCATATAATCGAGATACGTTCATAATTTTGCAAGTTGAAAATAATGAGTCTGGGTGAAATTAGTAGCGAAACGTTTCTGATGAGGCACACCTAGAGTTAGAACACCGTTTCCGAAGACGAGGACGGAGTACGAAAATCGCAACTTTCAGTTCCTACTCGATGTTGAGCTGCGACATCTACTGTTTTAATCGCTTCCCCGGATGCAGAAAAGTCAGGTTCCTGGGACGCTTCGCAACCCTCTGCTGAATCCGTCGCGACCCCCCTTGGCATCGAGTCCGACTATTGGGAAACAGTGTTAAACAACGATCCCGGATACATTGCACTGTACAAAACAGCCTGAACGCAGAATTCGCGTTTTCTAGATTGTCACCTATGCAGTGTAGCTTTAGGTCAAAACACGGCTTACATCAACTTACAAATAAGCGTGCTTGATTTATTACACCACGCTAAGTTCGTTGCTTTAGGTATTTAGCGGTTAGAAGGGAAAATATAGAAAGAAATAATCGAAGATTACACTGTACTACAAGACGCATTGTGCACGCGATGTCAACAAATACAAGTACATTGGCTGCCTCATGTAAGGATAAATCTGGGTGCCTTAAAAAGCGGTAACCTCATACTGGCAAAAAGCTTCAGTGATATAAAGTATATTCACATTAATGACAGGATTGCCTTGCCTATTTCGCGCACAAACAAACAGGGCAAAGACAAGTGAACATGGACTGACAAACATGTATACAAACACAGCCAAACTCACATACTCCCCAACGCTGGTACAAGTGCTGATTCAAGGAGACCGCACTAACTTGCGCAAAATCAGACATAAACACCTACACACGCCACAGAAACACACCCAGATGCTTTTAGACACCCATGCAGGTATGTATTAACACGTAAACACGGACACCGCAACGAGCAAAGATAGGCTTACACAAACAGATTCACACATGTTCACATCAAGGCACATATAATCACACTCACTCTTGCAGAGAAACAATTAATCACGGGCAAAGATGTGCACCGACGTACACAGATGCAATCAGAGTCACATGAACGCACACAGTCTTCTGCATGCTGATGTGCATAAACAAAAAAGCATGAGCTTCCCTATAAAAATAGCCCACGCACACACACAGACCACGCTGATGCACACACACATAAACCTATATATGCACACGAACACAATTCCACGCACACACACACAAACCCACGCCCCCTTCCATACACGAATATATGTAACGCGTATTTAATTGTCACCGAAATCGGCAGGCACAGACGCACAAGCAAAAATCCACGTACAGACGCGCGCAGACACACACGCACACCAGCGCACGTATAAGCAAAGGTACACGCTGACACTTGCAATCACCCTTCCGCAAGAGTTACGCACAATACTTTTTGGTACGCCAAGATACATGCGCACACGCATACATGTTGGCACACACACACACACACACATGTTGGCACACACACACACACACACACACACACGGAGAGCAAGACAAAGTACAGCGGTATCTGCTTTGTACAGGCTTTAAAGGGCGAAACGAACTCTTAATATTTAGGCTTGAATTGTAAGTTCAAATATGTTGCATATATGTCTGAACAGTGCTCCTGGTAGCCGTCTCTCCAAATAAATGGTTGTTTCCTGCTAAAGTCGATAGATTAAACTCATTGTTCCGACAAGCGTGCAATCGCTTCGAAAAGACTCGCCGTCTGCGCAGGTTACACAAGACTGGATTCTGAAGTACGGCGACGTATTCGGCTACTTCATGGGAGACATACCGTGCCTATCAGTTACGAATGTGGAACTGATCAAGCAATGCCTCGTGAAAGAAGCCGACCTATTTTGTGACCGGCCTCACTTTCCTGTCGATGTGGAGCCATTTACAAGCTCCCTGTTCGGCTTGGCAGGTAAGTATGGCTGATTAATGTTGGTTTCATGGATCGATGGATTTCTAGAAGCTACATGCATGCAGCAACAATAGGCAGAAAAGAAAAAAAAGCAGCAACTGGTTGTTTACGAGGTATACCCCTGCAAAAACCAAATTTAATAGAGGGTGTTTTTTTTTCCTTTAAGCTAAACAGATTTGTTTAATAAAGTCGTGCAAGCTACACTTACGGGGTTTGTGTAGGCGAGTTTACGGTGAGATGGACATAGTATAGGGGGATAAGCGGAATGATGATTCGGCTAATTGAGTGAAAAAATTAATTACCTTTCTAGTTTGTGAAAATAGACAAATGGTTCACATTAGACTCTTGCTGAGCGTCATCGAAAACAGACAAATCAGTCATTTTTAGAAAATCCGAGTGCTTGAGAAGCGCAGTAGTGAATTAAAGTTACCACCCGTGCTGGCAGGAGCAAAGCTACCAGTGCGATAACGCGCCGACGTGATTGTTCGATCACTTATGATAACTACAGCCTTGTACATATTGCACGAGTGGTGCCTTCAGCGCAATACTATCCTTCTCACGCGCTCAAAGTATTCCTTACTGGGGGTGTCGAGAACTTTTGTCGAACCTCGATTTTGACGTCGAACCTCAAAGTTCGACTGGTTCGCCAAACCTTCGACGTTTCTCTAAAGTTTGGAGAACTTCGAATTATGGACACTGTTGCCCGGCTTCTACACGAACATTTCAAATTTTGGGAAAGAAACAATTTAGAAAGTAGTTTATTTTTTTACTGCTTACCAATCTTTACATTAAATAGACGCGAAATAATGCGCTTTTAAAGCTTTCGTTGGTTAGTAATGTGAACCAGCGATTTCAATACACCCAACAAATACTGCACTTTTCCTCCGCCAGGTGGAGTAAACTGGATTTCAAATCTTCGCGCATGCGCACAAAAGTCGAATTTCAGTCGAACCTTTGTCGAACGTTACGTTGAAGGTTCGAAAAGTCGAAGTTAGTCGAACTCGAACTTGTGCAATTTCTAATTGGAGCCATGTGTCTATTTTACTAATTAAAAAGTTAATTATAAAGATTTACTTAGCCGAATGATCGTTACGATTAGCCCCCTATACTATGTCCCCCTGGCCGTATAACTTACCTGCACACCTCATAAGTGTAGCTTTAATGCGTTTTTTTTTTTTAAGAAATCTGTTTTGGTTAAAAAACGCATCCCCAATAAACTTGCGTAAGTAGTATAAATCAATAGGTTGCGTATAGATTCAAATGCAATTAGTTATATTAAGACATTCACTGATGATTCGGACAGAAAACGGAAAAGATTACAGCGGTGGAAAATCAAAATGAAGGTGAAAACGGCTTAATCGACGACTCAAATTGAAGGCAACGCCTGCGCACTAACTGTATTTTCGTTTGAAATTTAATATATGTTTGGTGTTAATTCTTTTTTTTTTTTTGTAGTCAAGTCGGTTGTTTCTAGACTCAGACAGACAGCTCCAACATGATGAGCTTTCGCGAGGCGAAGGGTGGTCCAACGAATCACTAGCTGGCCTTCGTTTAATATCCTGTCAGTATGGCTGCATTTCGATGAAGATATTTGTGCTGAACTTTGTGGTCGGTTTGCCTTGCTGCATACCCGACCGGGAGGAATAACAGATAGCCAGTGATTTCAACAAGAACTACATTTAACTGGACATGGACGAAATTATCAATACATTAACATCGTTACCAGCGGCGCTGGAATTCAGGAACCGACTGCCGGTGCGCTGCCTCTGATCCGCCTTATCAAGGCGGCGTGCGTGATGTGCGCGTGGCCGGCTTGACTCAGCCGCCACACGGGAAGGTTCGCCCCCTGTGCCCCGTAGTCGGGCAACTGGGCTGGGGAGCCGCCAGGGTGCCCCCCCCCCCCCCCCCCCCCCTCACCCCTCACACGTCGTCCGGCACGTCGAGGACGGTGTCGTCGTTGTGGGCGTCAGGGGTGGAAGGCGCTGCTGTGCAAACTGGCGCAGCAGGTTCAGTCAGCGCTGGTGGACGAGCTCGATGGCCCGTTCGAGCTCGCGCTCGTCGAGCTGGTTGATGTGCGCGAAACGTTCGGCGTCCGCCCGACAGATTTCGGGGACCCCACAGAGTGGACAGGGGAGGCGCAGCTCTTCTGCGGTGTAGAGTACAGCCGGCTCTGCGGGGTGTGATCCTCTAAGGTTGGCCCGCAGAATGGCACGGGGATGCTTGCCGGAGTGCCACCCAGATCTGGTCGAGGCTGGTCCCTCCAGCGTAAGTCGGACTCCCAGCCGATAGAGGTGTGCTCATCGAGCACGGTTCGTTGTGGCCGTCTGCTGCATCGGCGGCATAGGACGGGTCCGCGGGGCCGTCCTGTTGAGGGTGGCCACGGTCCACGGTCCCTTAGGCCAACCCTGATGCGCCGACGTCCTTGGTGGTCGGGTTCACCACGAGCCCGGCCGCCATGTCGTTCCAATGACGAAGTGTGGAGACGGTGTCGCCCACGAGCCATCTTCGTGGAGAAACAAGAAAGCAGACGACATGGGGGCTTAGTTGTGGGTTGATCCTGACATTATTTTTGCACCCTTTTCAGAAAGTTCGAAATAACGGATCTGAGGCGGGCGTACGATCTCCCCCCCCCCCCCCCCCCCCCCTCCCCTCTTCAGTAAAGGGGGCAGATCCATGGAAGTAGAAAACTAATCCAAAAATGCGAGAAAAAGGAAGCCGAGGAGACAAAAGGAGGAACAAAAGTTTGTCTCTTTTTGGTGTTACCGACGTCGCAGGTTATACCGTCGCCTTAGTATAGACAAGGGGTTTTCCGGAACGGGACTGCTGTCAGTGTTGTTCCGGTCCTGCGAGGAATCTTCGCCTTCTGCTTGAAAAAATAGTTTAAGGTCGGTGACATGAACAGGTCCGGTTTCTTCAGGAGACTCACGTTGAACAAGTTTGTAAGTGATTAGTGAGCACTTTTCACGCGCGCGAAACGGACCTTCCCACCTGTTTGTGATGGAGGCTGCGAAGCCTCCAGCGGCGTCACTCAGTGGGTGAGTACTCCGGAGTACAAAATCTACCACCTCGAACTGCAGGTCACGTCGCCCCTGGTTGTTCTCTTCCGCCTGCTGCACTCGAGTGACGTCTAGCTTCTTTTGGGCATCTCGAAAGGTGTCGGAGAAGCGCTTTCGCAGGTCCTCTGCAAACTTCACCTAGGGACGCCGCCTTCCCCCAGACTCTATAGAAAGGAGGCTGTTAAAAAGCGGAAACGCAAGCTTCTTGCCGAAATTCAATTGGGGAGGGAGTGAGACCCGTTAACCGATTAGTGGTCGTACGGGTTGCGAATGCCAGCTCCGGCAGTTTCGTGTCCTTACACTAACATCATCTTAAGGTTCCGATTTACCCTTTCCGTGATGTTTTCTTGTGGGTGGTATGGGAAAGTTCTTTGGTGTTTAATTTCCAGCACCGCGCATGTAACCACGAACACCTTACTCGTTAGGTAGGAGGCATCATTGCATACAAGCTGCGCTGGAGAGCCGAACCGAGCGAATGTTCCCAGCAGAGAGTTCAAGATTTTTTGCCTAATCTAGCTTTCTTGAAAAAAACAAAACAGCTCAACCCATTTTGTAAAGTGGTTGGTTACCACCAATAAGTACTGATTGCCGCGGGGACTACATGGGAAGGGGCCCATGACATCACAGCAACAAATCTGCCAAAGGCTCTGACCCACGATTGGTTGCATGATACCGGGGGGGGGGGGGGGGGGGGGAAGGGGGGGGGGGGCAAACCACCGCGGTGTTTTGTCTTCTGGCACACCGATCAGCAACTAGCGTATCGGAGCACATCCTGCCTCATGCCTGACCAGATAGCGATTCGGGATAGCTTTTCATAAGTTTTGCTCCCACTGCTGTGTCCTGCCAAGGCAGAGTCAGGCATGTATCCAATCAAAAGCTTACGTAGCTTGCGGGGTGTCACGGTCCGGAACGCCGAGCCATCCAGATACTCGTCGGCTTGGGGGATGTAGCGTAGCAGGAGGCCGTCGTCGCTCATCAAGTAGGAGTCGAACTCCTTGTCACTTGGGCGGTCGATTGTACCTCTTTCTGCCAGCCAAGCGGACACGCGTTGGCAGAGTGCGTCATCCAGCTGCGCCTTGCGAAGCTCCTCGCGGCTCACCAATGTACCCCACCGTGAGTCTGGGGATCCTCGTGCCAAGGCCGCGACGGTCCCCAAACAGGAGGTATCTTTCGAGTGTTCCTCGAGAAGCGGAGCACGAGAGAGCGCATCAGCATTTTGTTGGTTGACACCGGGTGGTACATGATGGAGTAGTTGTATTGATGTAGCGTAAGCGCCCAACGAGCAAAGCATCCAGCTGGATTCTTAGAACCTCCGAGCCATGAGAGCGCTAAGTGATTAGATAGAATCTAAAGCCCCTCTATCCTGGTAAAAGTGGCGCCATTCATTGTTGTGGAAATGCTCGAGACACGTGCCGCGCGCCAGATCTGGGGAGAACATGGCGTCTCAAATCTAGCTCAGTACTGCGCTGTGCTGCCATGATCTCCCCAAGTGCTGCACCTTGCATGTGCCTCGTACATCGACGAACCTTTCGCTACTTTTGATATATGAAGGGGCTTTAATTGAATCTGCAACGTTGCGCCATCAAGTTACATGTTGAAGCTCTTCAAAGCATGAATAATGGCGAGACAATCTCGTTCCGCGACACTGTAGTAACGCTCGGCTGGAGTTAGCGTGTGGGTCGTGAAAGCAAGTGGCCGAAGCACACCCTCATACTCCTGCAGCGAGACAGCGCCCAGGCCAAGGCCTCTTGTATCTGTCTGCAGAACGAATTGCTTTCTCAAGTCTGACAGTTCTAAACAAGAGTTCTCAGACGCGGCTTTTGAAAAGGCTGCGAATGAGCATTCTTGTTGTTGTTCGGCCCAACACCACTTGATGCGTTTTTTTTGGAAGGTGGGATATCTCGGAACAGTGTGGAATGAAACCCTTGTAGACTGCAATCATTCCCAGGTATCATTGTAGGCTCTTTACGTCATGTGGGCTGGGGCATTCCGTCAGCGCGCGCAACTTATCTTCGTTGGGCGGAGCGTGCCGTTATCCACAACGAATCCAGGAAGGTTAATTTCGGGCGCGGCCAACTGAACCTTTCCGGGGTGAATCGTGAGGTCAACATTACGCATGCGCTCAACTACGATGCGGAGGTGATCGGCATGCTCCTCGATAGTTCTCGAGAAAACAGCCACGACATCCATGTATGTCATGGCAAGTTCGTACTTCGAGTTCCCGAGTACAACATCCATCTGGCGCTGAAAACTGGCTAGAGAGTTAGAGAAGCCAAACGACAGTCAGGTGAACTAAAAAAAAAAAACGCTTTGTGGCAAATAAAAGCAGTTTTTGGAACGTCTGATGGGTGAATTGCGATCTGATGAAACCTGTGACTGCAATCCGGCGTTCTAAACACGGTCCAGTTACCGAGCACGTACATCGCAGAGTAAATGTTGGGGAAAGGGTAGCTGTCTCGTACGGACACATCGTTAAGCCTCCTGTAATCCACACGTCTGGCTGTTCAGTCTTTTTTCGGAGCGCGAACAACGGGGAACACCCAAGGGCTCTTCGACTTAAGTACTGAACCGGTGTCGATCATCTCCTCGAGCGCCGCATCTAGGAGTGCCTTTTTGTGGACGCTGATCGGTCGAGGGTTGCACCTCCGAGGCGGCACGTCACCGGTTTCAATGCAGAGCAGCAGAATGTCAGTCTTTCCAGGCGTTTCCGTTAACACCGGTGAGAGACTGCAGGACGGCTTGCAGCTCCGTCAGGCAAGACGTCCGGCACCATGGTGAAGTGGGCTGCACCGGGCGGGTTACGGATGCAGTCCTCCCGTCTGGTAAACGGAGTCAGCTCTGGTTGTTGACCCAGCCGGTATCCGCCACCAGAATATTCGAGTGTCATATTTTCGCCTGTAATGAAATCTCGGCCCAAGATCGCGGGTACCCCAAGTCCTGGCAGATAAAGAGATCGCTGACGCCGCTTCTTTCTATTGAATAGAGTGTGCAGCCTTACAGTTCCACCAGCTGCTATCAACCGTGGAACGTCTCTTCGAATACCTTCACACCAAACCGTGTTGCAGAAGTTACCGAAAAAAGTAAATAAATACGTTACTCGCCTTCCAAATAACTGTAACGCGTTACCGTGCTATATTACTCCAAAATAAAAGGAACGCATTACATTACGCTTAGGAATAAAACGTCACGCACGTTACTTTTTCGTTACTTTTTAAATATGAATTTACACATTTTTACTGTTTTGACGATACACGTATGCATAAGCGCCATATAACAAGAAACATTCTGTTCATGAAGAAACTGAGTATCATAACTTTATATTTTCTACTGTTTCACGTAAATACTCATGAGAATAAACCGGAAAAAAACACTAAAGCTCACAAATTTACATGTCTTGTCGCTAAAAAACACGAAAAATATTGAAGTGTAATTTTTGTTAAGTACATGCAAGAGGAAGTGACGAGTAACGTAACTACGTTATAGGTTACTTAAAATAAGTAACGTACCTAAGTATGTTACCCGTTACTGTCTTGAAAACATAACAGGCACGTTACACGTTACCAAAAAACTAACCCGTTACCGGTAACGCTGTTACTTGTAAGGCGTTACCGCCAACTCTAACCAGTGTTGGCGGTAACTGACCAGTGTGCAATAATAAAGTTAAGCTTCAACTAGAGCTACAACGAAAATATATTTCTGAGCACTGGTCCTTCAAGTAAAACCATCTAATACTCGTTGGATTTCTTTTATTTTTGGGGATTCACAGGTGAAGAATGGAAGCAAGTCCGGTCATACCTCAATCCTGTCTTCACCCCTACCAAGCTTAAGAAGACAACACAGATTATTAGCGACTGCGCAGACGAGATGCTGCGAGCGCTCGGTGAAGCTGTCGCCGAAGAAGGAGTGGTGGATATGCTCAGCGTATCTCGAGGCTTTTCCATGGATGTCATAACAAAAAGTGCATTAGGTTGGCAGGTAAACACATCATTTTATTCTACTTCCCTATGCAGCTTTCCTCCGGCTATTTTTAAAATGATGTTTATAAATGCAAGTGAGGTGTTTCTCTGTGTGTGTGTGTGTGTGTGTGTGTGTGTGTGTGTCTGTGCGTGTGTGTGCGTGCGTGCGTGCGTGCGTGTGTGCGTGCGTGCGTGCGTGCGTGCGTGCGTGCGTGCGTGCGCGCGCGTGCGCGCGTTTTACAGATGTATTTTTGGCAGAAGGGGATGTTCCCTCCGCTTACGAATGTAGCCAGAAGGTTAAATAAGTCGCCAGAATAGGAGAAATTTGGCGAAAATCCTGAGCCTTTGGTGTCCTGGTAAATGAACCACGGTACCAGAAAAAATCTGGTGCAATCTGTGGAAAAATGCCTCGTGACACCAAGCAACCGAAAAGGCTACCGGATCCGCGTTAAAGTAACCATCCCTTAGTAGCTCAAGCCGCCGCCCAATTTAAGTAGAGCCGTAGAGTCACGGATTGAATATTTCAGGTCAAGAAATATGAATTTCATAAAATTACTCCGCCCGAAAATACGCGCAACAATTATTTTTGTTATTCTTTCAAGAAGCGTAGATGCCTCCAGGTCAATTTTCTTTTGCCTAACTACCAAATCTTTAAAGAAGATATATTCTTTTTTTTGCGCTGCATGCACTATGCACTGCGCAGAACCTACGTGCAAAACACTTTTTTGTTATTTCCAACCCTCTTGAAGTGGCATATGCAACGAGCATGGTGACAATGGCGCTCCTCTGGTTCATTTCGTTCCCCAGCAGCCTTGTATCGCAAAATTCGTTAAAAATATGCATATGTACATGAAACTGATTTAGTTAATTTATGTTTTTTTTTTTAAATACTTGTTCTGCATACGGATGCTTAATTTTTTTATTGGCGTGTTTATCTCACATTTAGTGCTTGGAGAAATCACTGGAAATTTCTATGTAACTTTGGTGCCACGAGCACTTTTTTTAATCTGGCAACCCTGTTGCTTACATTGCTCAACGAACAATACACTGAAACGAACCAAAGAGTGAGAAAATTAAATTTATACAGACGTATGAGGACACAAAATATAAGAAGGGTGAGCTGAAATAAGGAGGGTCATATGATTGTCATGCCTACTTTGTTTTCAAATATTTTGGGGTAGCAAAACATGTCCATGCAACGTAATGTACCTTACTTTTGCAAAAAGGTTTATTGTTTTCCTAAAAGAACAGTCGCGTCTAAGAGGACGAGGATCTATTCCGAATCGCGCGTAGAGGTAACTGAGGGCTGCAAGATTAAAAAATAAAGTTTTCTATCACCTTAATATTTTTATGAATAAAGCACGCCGACTGGCCCGCGAGAAGCTGCTAAACTTTGTTTATTTAAGTTTTTTTTTTTATTTTAAGTAGAATAAAATGGGCAAACTTGGCCTTTTGTGCAACTCATTTTGGGAGCCAGCTACTAGCGCCACCTACCACGGCCCGCTGTTCTCTTCATCCTTACTGTCAAGCCTGGCCGGACAAGTGTCCCAGTCGGCTTCTGTTTTGGGCCGACCGAACCACGCGGCGCCTCAGCGCCTCGTTCCTTTTCTTATACGCCCGTTAATACAACTTATATTCAACTGTTACTTGCCTCGCCCTCGCCCCATCGCCCTACGCCTCGCCTGGCCGACGCCCGGCCGTAGTCCTCAACATTTTTAGACATTTTTCGGTGATTTTTAACAGATCTTTTATTGAAATTATTATTCTAAAAACATATTGCACAGAGTATTTCATGCTTTGTTGACTAGTAACCAGCGTTGTAGGTGTTACCGAAAAAAGTAACGAAAAGCAGAACTCGTTACTTGCAAAATAAGGGAACGTGTTGCCGGCCTACATTACCTCAGAATAAAAGGAACGCGTTGCCGTTTCCGTTACCGATAAAAGGCAACGAACGTTATTTTTGCGTCTCTTTTTTTAATTATGAATGAACACGTTTTACTGTTTTGACGATACAGGTATCCATAAGCGCCGTATTTCAAGAAGCATAATGTTCACGCAGAAACTGAACATAATTACTTTATCCTTTGCATCGTTTCACCTAAATACACACACACGAAAAAAAAACGCAAAGAAAAACGCAGAGAACTCAAGAATTCAAATAGTTAGGCGCCTAAATCCACGAAAAAATTAAAGTGTGATTTCTTTTTAAGTTTTGGTAAGAAAAAGTAACGAGTAATGTAACTACGTTATACGTTACTCGAAATAAGTAACGTTAGGGCGTTACCCGTTACTGTTTTGAAAAAGTAACGAGAACGCTACTTCGTTACCGAAAAAAGTAACGCTTTAAGGATAACGTTGTTACTTGTAACGCATTACCGCCAACTCTGCTTGTAACACAACAGTTAGCGCTCAGCTGTTGTTAGTTTGTTTGTAATACTCCCGGAAGTTTTCAAAATATCACAAAAGTCAAAATTGTGCGAATAGCGTTCGACATTTAAAAGAAATCAAATTCAATTTTTTTTTTATATTTCTCGATGAACTTTTGGAAAGGGGTAATGCGAAATCCGAAAAAATCTGGTTGCATTATATTGTTCTAAATTAGAAGAAAAAAAAAATACAGGAAGATTCATTGGCGGATTCTTCGTGGATGCGTTAGCATAACGCTTGGAAACGCCAAACACAATTCCCTTTGGGAAAGGCTAACGCTGGCCCCTTCACTTTTTTTCTTTTGGCTTTCTCTATTTCTTGCTGATTCTTTTTGGCCTCGCAACGGAGTCAGTGTTAGCGTTTCCCGAAGGGGGATGTGTACGGCGTTTCCCAAGGGTCATGCTAACGGATGTCCCAAGAATCCGTCATTGAATCTTCCTGTAACGCGACAACTGATCAACGAAAAACACCGCCGGGTTTGCGTCAAAACGAGTGTTCTAATGCTAACGCGTTAAACACGTTTTTGCCATGTCAATGTTGCCGTCAATTACCGCTGAGGCTTTATCTCAACGACTAGTGGTACTCGAGCTCCGTATCCACAGTGCCCGTGGGTTGCCGCATTTTCTTCGAGGCACCATAGAGCATTATGCAAAAAATCATAAATGTTTTTAACTTAGTGATGTGGTTCATAATGCTTGTGAAAACTTAACTTATCGGCGCATTGGGTTCTTAAGGTGTTGTGCTTGGTTGACTGTGCTGCATCACTGCGCTACTTTTCCATTGTAATATTTTAATGTGGGTAGCCTGGTGACAATACGATTCGATCCATTTATTTAGAGATCGCTATACTTCGTTTGAAAGTGCGATGGATTGTAGCGAACGCTGCGGGCTATGTCGGCCAATTTAGTGTATTAAGTGACAATGCATGTCTCAAAGGTAACGTGACACGCCCCTCTCAAAGGTTACGTGACACGCACATTACATTGAATTGACTTGTATGGATTATAGCGTCGCCTTTCGACTATCGTAAGGTAAAATGGAGCATATGAATAGGATACGTAGAACTCTTATGTTCCAACTGATGGCGGCCGTGGCGAGGGCGGAACAATGGTCGGTTGCGTCAAGAAGGAAGACAAAAAAAAAAAAAGAAACAACGAAATGGAAAGCTAGGTAGCGTCATTCTATCAGAATTTCGCCTTATATTTATTATTTATACATCTTTAGCCCAATAGATTTTAAATTTTTCTTCAAAACTCTATGCATCTCGTAGCTTAGTTATTTTATATTACAAATATTTACTCCCTCGTAGTAGCAGCAACGAACGTGCTTTTAGAAAAAAAGGCAACCGTGATGGGGAATGACACAGCTAAATAGAAGCAATAAAGTATAATTTAATCGAATTAGTACCTTTAAAACTCAAAGTACATGCTTTTTTTCGTTTTTGTATTTTGCTAGTTGATATGCACCTATCAGTATGATAGGATGAAATAGATTAAGTTTGCGTAATTGTTTTAAAATGTCAAATCCAGCTTTATCTAGAACCTCGGAAGACGCCGTTGCTTCCGTGTCTTGAACGAAGTACACGTGGTCCATTTTCATTGAGAACTGTATACGTCATATTGAAAGTGTATTAAAAAATCTCCTTCTCCCCAACAGGTGAACTGCCACAAAAACTCTTCTCACCCACTTTTGGCTTCAGTCCTCGGGGTTATGAGCGCCAAAGACTCTATAATTGAACATTGCTTTTGCTTTCCGGCCCTACGAAAGGTGCTAAAATGGCTGTACCCTTTTGCTACCTACTACCGAGTCACGACAGAAATCACATCCGCTCTCCACGAGACAATCAAGCTTCGTCGTAGCGGAGCATCCCCCCATGCAGGAGACATCTTACAACACATGCTAGACGCCCAAGTGTGTGCCGAAGGCGTAACCCGTAAGTTAAGGAATCATGTCATGCGCATTGAAGACCGCCATATCCTGGCAAGCAGCTTTAGTTTTTTGGTTGCCGGCTTTGATACGACTGCTTCAGCACTGGCTTTCATAATCCACCTACTTGCAAAATATCCCGAAGAACAAGACCGCATATTTAGCGAAATGCAGCAAACGTTCTCCGAAGAAGCGGAACTTACGTACGACGGCGTTCAGCAATTGAAGCGACTGGACATGGTGATTTCCGAAACGCTGAGGTTGTACCCGCCCGTGGTGTTCTTTATTAGTCGTCTCTGCAGAGCAACCACCACGCTGATGGGACACTTCATTCCAGGTGGTGTCAACGTCGTTGTTCCCACGTGGCACATTCATCATGACCCCGAACTCTGGCATGAACCCTTCAAGTTCCTTCCGGAAAGGTTCGCTGAGGGAGAGAAGCACCATCCTGCCGCGTATTTGCCTTTCGGACTCGGACCCAGACAGTGCATTGGGAAAAGATTCGCCCTCTTGGAACTGAAGTTTGCCGTATGCAGAATAGTTGGAAAGTACAAGATCTATCAGTGCGAACGCACGCAAGATCCGCTGAAGCTGGTTGTCCCTTCCGTAAATATTAACCCGAAACAAGGTGTCTATGTTAGACTTAAAGTGAGATAAAAGGCACACCAGTAAGGCAATCACTCGAGTGAATAAATTATTGCAATCTGCAGTTGACATTACACTTTTAATATCCCGAAAAATATGTCACCTGAAAGTGAAGTAACTTCCTTATAGTCGTGTGTTTATTTACGAGCTAATAAATATCCGATAATCTATAATGCGTCCCATAGTCGATGCCGGGACATACCAGCACAAAAATAGGTTATCAAGAGTGAAAAAAACATTTTTAGTCTTGGCTTAATGATGAGATGTCCAACACACGTATAGTTTTAATGGGCGACTCCTATCGGCATTCTGATTCATGCTGATGGTAAACTGCAATTGCCGCGGCGTAAGAGGCAATGTTGAAGTTTAAAAAAGCTGACACATTATTATGTAGAATGAAAAACTTAAAATCTACGTTATCGAAGTGTATTTTGTACAAAAAGACTACATCGTACGCGGCCAACTTTGGCAACCACCTTTCAACGCCCCCTTCCCAAAAAAAGAAGATGCTGTGTTATTAGGACAGGACGTAAAGGCAAGAAATATCCGCTCTCACCGGATTCCGCTCGCTATGTATCGGATGCCTCACATTTGATGCATTAAAATTATGCCCGCCATTCCGTTCTGAGCAAGATAAACGAACCCGATCTGTAAATTTGGCGGCGTCTGCCAACTTTTGTTTGTTTAGTCTTTTCGTTTGTAGTGGCGATTGTGCGTTCCCAACGGTTCGTCGCGACTTCCAGATTTCTGTGTCCTGTCCAAACCTCTTCAATAAAGAACAACGTGCCACCTTTGTGCATACTGGGTAAGTAATTCGGTACAAGAAGCTGATCACTTCTGATACATTACTTTTTCGAGCAAGTTTATGATTGCCTATCTACATTTGGGTGGGAGTAATCTGCAACTTCATTTATTTACGAAGTATACCCAGCAACATATTTTGTGATTACTTGTCAATTTGATCAAACAAAGAAAAAAAAAACATTGTACGGCAAGTAGCTATAGAGCACTATTTTCACTCAATTCTGCAGTATAAGAAAGCTCGATAACTTTAAAAAAAATTAGTGTTTTATTCTGAACTAAGACGCGGGTTTGGGGTTTAATTTTTTTGTTTTATTTTGACGAAGAAAATATACGCTTTGGAAGCATTCTTGAAATAAATCAGAGCAAAAACATCAAGGTTGGCGGATTTTTTGCATTTATGTTATTATCCATTGAAGCGGCCAAGGCGAAAGCTGATGTTTCTCCCAACTGTCGGAGATGGGATGTCGACCGCTCTCTACTTTGTCACTTCTTAAACTTATGCACTAGGACTTCGTGTCTATCTAAGAGGAGAGGCTGAAACAAAACGCTCGCTTTTATAACTTAAATTACACCGCAATAAATGTGTTTCTTGGCCAGTGGCGCGGTGTCCACGTGTACCTGTGTTCTACTATAGCCAGTGAGCTCGTGAAAGTGAAAGGCATTTCAACGGACAATCGTTGTACAACCAAGTTTAAAAAGAATGGATAGGTGGGCGAGTTGGTGCAAGTTGATGGGAATTCATCGTTGGAAAGAGAGAGAAAAACAGACGAGGGCGAAGAAGAAACACACGGGACGAGCGCTGATTATCAAGTAAAATATTTTAATGGGAAAACATATGAAAACGACTATTCATCTTTGGTAGTACACCCCCCGTCTGCGTATGACGAAACAACTCATAGCAGCGTGATGGCACGTGGTAAACGCGATAAAAAGTGATATGACGCTAGCCCAAATCCAAAAACGCCACCTCACTATCCAGCAGCAGTGCCAAAGCCGGTTGGCTGACACAGGAGGCTCCCGCCTTTATTAATTGGTATGCCTTTACTCTCTCTCTAGACACTTGGTCCCTGTGCTTGAACGAAACGTTGGTGTGGCTCAATCTTGGCTCACACTTACAGTCGCGGCAATGCATCGCAAAATGCGAGTATGCACAACTCCTCAATGAACTCTGGTGCTGGTTCTGGTGCTGGTGCCCGTTTAAGATTCGTCTACTTTCGAGAATCAAGACAACTCATACGGCAGAGGACATTGCTGCGACTGCGACGTCTGCCGTGGCGTCCCCTTTCACATCCGTGCACGTGCCATGAAAGCTTTTGAACTGGGACATCGGCGCCAATTCCCCATTGTTGATAGGGGCGCTCCATTGACGCCGGGAGCTCCGCTGCGTAGATAAGAGTGAATATTATTTTCCATCCGATTTTTAAGCATTACTATGCGTGATCTATCATAATGACAAGCGCAATCAGTGCATTCCTCGCGTACTTAATTTTTCTAAATTTCTCGGTACTCTTGCCATCACTTGTCGCTTCAGTATGCTTGGGTTAAAAGTGTCGAACAAATCAAAATTACTTTGAATAAAATACGTCTGCGCGTGCTAAAGCGGGAGTGAGCACCCTTTCAAACAAGCTAGGGAGATTCTCTCATATATATTGACATGCAGTAATGCAAGTGTTTGCTTCATAGAAAAAAACAAATCAAACAGCTCCTTAGTCACTTTCAGACCCGCCAGTATCGGTATCAGAACCTGGGTGGCTTAAGACATTTTTAACCCGTGAAATTGTCCAAAGTCGCCATTTGTGCGAGAAATTCGATTCCACGTTTCAATATGAACGTGCCTCTACACGTGAATACGAGTCCCTACAGTAGGCCCCCTTTCAAATCCCCGTCAACCCACATTGGCGGTCACCATTTGTTGGGCAGTAAGCGTGTGATTGGATCCTGACTCCTCTCCAAAAGCTGACGTCACACTTGTTCTCAATACAAACTAAGCCGAGTTCACGGCGAACGCCGAAGGAGCCGTCGTGTTCAATAGATGCTCGGAGAATTTGCTCAAAAACCATGGAGAATTCAGCTAATCATATGGTGCCGCCACTACTAGACGGCGCGATCGTTTCTATCCTGAGACCGTGAAACAAAGTGGTGAAACGGGTGAACATTTTGAACGACAAAATATTTTCCCACGATTCAAAATATATATCGAGGGAAACCGCCCAATATTGTACATTTTGACCTGTTGGAAAGCTTGTGCCGTAGGAGGTGCGGGCGTGTAATCCTCTCGAAGCGTAGCGTATTTTGGCAGCGCCTACAAAACAGTTTTCTCGCGAATCGCTCAGAGCAGAAAATTGGGCGGCGCTCGTCGGGACTTGAAGCAGTGGCCTCAATGCCGTTCATGCTAGATGAGCTGCCCCACCTTCCGGTACCACCGCTGCGGGAACACTTGACTGATTCGTGGTACCCCTGGAGCCCCTCCTGACCACCGATGAGCCATATACGCTAACTCAGCTCTGCTACGCCGCGCCGCGTTGGTAGCGCTTCGGGCGCACTTCCGGCTTGTCGTGTGGGCGGAAGTCGCCTTGCGGGCCGGGCATTGGTTTATTGTTTTGGAAGAAACCAGACCACGACCTGCCTTCTCGTCAAAAACGCCGCGAATAGGGCTGTGAAAAAAGATCCGGGAAAGGTGTCAAGATCGTTTCATGCGTTTTCTGCGTACCGAGAACGTGGATAGGTGCCATGAGAAAGGAAAACCAGACGCCGTGGGTCGGGGATTGCTTGTGCGGGAAGCATTTTGGGTTGAAGTTATGAAGACTTGTGGACCTCCGATTTATTTCTTTGGTTCCAACATCAACGCGGGAAAACCATTGGACTACCCGCAGACCACTTTCAGTGCGTCTTCTTGTTCAAACGGCCATGTGATCTTTCAAACTGTTGTCTGCTGTTTCAAAGTCGTATGCTTTTTCAAACTTTCGTCTGTACGTTCGAACGACAACCGCCCGGACACCACACGTTGACAGGATAAGCGCGATAGGATGCAAATGCAGGCCACAAAATACTTACATTTGAAGGTTTGGGGTAAGTGGGCTGGGTACAAACAGTGAATAAAAGGGAATGTTTTTCACTGTTACCCGTGGCCGTTACCAACTTGTTATACCTGATTCACATGGTCCGATTCTGTTTTTGATTTTCAGTATCGATGTCGAGTATCGCATCTTCCGTCCACTCTTCTTTTGTGGCCGGAGCGCCATCGCGACTGAAAATAGCGACCAGTATCTCGTTATATGATTCAGGCTTTAGCGTTCATTCCGGGGCGTCCACGTGGAAAGAATCGCATGCATGTCACATTATTCACGCTAAGTTTTGCGGTGTACCGAGCTTCGTTAATTTCGCTGTGCCAGCTAAAATAGTCAGACATTGCCAGGAAGACGTAGAATTAACAATTCCAGCGTGAAAAAAGCACGGGGACTCACACAGACGCCGACAACATTGTATTCCAATGGTTTGTTTATAGACGACGGCGAGCTTCGTATAGGGGCGCTCCGGTTTGCTTGTAAATATAAGTTGGTGTATTGTCGGTGACAGGTTCGGAGTCAATTGGAAGCTACTCCCACCTCTTTGCACTTTAGCAGAGCGAATACTGGAGAGGAGGCGGCCTCTTCTTCAGCCCTCGCTCAACTAAAGTGCAAAGAGGTGCGTGGAGCTTTCACTTGACTGTGACTTAAAGGGCCCATGAAACGATTTTTGGGTTGGGATAAATCATTTTAGATTGGGATTTTACTAATAGCACATCGTTCAGTGGACCAAAAGAAAAAAAGGTAGAAAGTCAAAAGCCTGACTTTCAGTGCGAAAATTTGAAAACAGAGCGGACTATTTCGTACCTCCTCCCCTTCGCAACCTCTCTGCCTTTTCACTGTGATACAGCCGCGGTCCCAAAAGCGCGTTATCGGGTCCAAACTGACGTCACACGCAACCGGACCTCACTTATTCCCTTCACCCCTAAGCTGACATTGTGGTGGAAGCTACGCGCTTGCCGGACCAATCAGCCGCCTCCCATTCATCACCTGACTTCATTCTCTGCAGCCACATTTGCCACGCTCACGTGGCAAGTGTGGCTGGCCCAACGAGCACGTAGCTTCAACAGCACTGTCAGCTTCGGAATGAACGGGGTGGGAAAAGCAACTTTTGTTTGAATTTTGAGCGACGGGCTAATCTTCTAGGGGGAGAATGGATGTGTCCGGGATTACACAAACGAGAGTGCGAGCAAGAGGGGACTCCCCCTTTTCGTCTTCTTTAACTGTTTGGTGGAATGCGCGAT